TGCAACAGAGTGAAACAAGAGTATGTCACATTCATTGTCCAGTGGAATGCGGAGATCATTTGAAAGACAACGGTAGAACCCGCCCCACAACCGAGAGCCGTCCATGGAGCGTGGCCAGACTAATAATACATTTATTTAGTCTGGCTTGCCAGGCCAACAAAAGCCAGCTTGAACAGGTGAGTCTTCAGCTGCTTTTTAAAGGAGACCACTGAGTCCACTGATCTCAGGCTCAGGGGGAGAGAGGTCCAGAGTCTGGGGGCCACAGCAGCAGATGATCTGTCACCTTTGACCTTTAGCCTGGTGCTGCACAACCAGTAGGCTTTGATCACTGGACCTCAGGGACCTGCTGGGGGTGTAGGGACTAAGAAGATCACCAATGTAAGATGGTGCTTGTCCATGTAAGGCCCTATAGACCAGAACCAGGATCTTGAGATGAACCCTGAAGTTGACTGGCAGCCAGTGAAGCTGGAGGAGAAGCGGGGTGATGTGGGTGTGTTTGGAGGACTTGGTCAGAAGCCGAGCACAGGCGTTCTGAACCACCTGTAGACGGTTCAGGGAGGTTCTGCTCAGACACGTGAAAAGAGAGTTACAGTAGTCTAAGCGTGAGGAGATGAAGGTGTGGAGAACTGTCTCAAGTTCAGAGCGGGACAGAATGGGACTCAGCTTAGCAACGTTCCTGAGATGGAAGAAGGAAGAGCCAACAAGAGAACTGACATGAGAATCCAGGGTGAGAGCAAGAAAATCCAGGTTTTTAGACAGAATTAGATCATTGAGCAGGAAGGACTTATTGTTAACAGAGCGGGTGTTTAATAGAGCCATGCTGAGTGAGGTGGAGGAATCAGAAACTACAGAAACAGCTGGAGTTAGTGGACGTAGATTAGCAGGGTTAGATCCACGGTGTTTATAAAAGCCACTTATGGAGGGAACAGGAGGAGAAACCACTGAGGAATGAGGATAAGCCAACCTTAAAACACTTGGACGGACAAACGCGGCCTGGCGGGAATGCGGAAGTGGCGCTCAGGTCACCAAACAAAGGACAAGAAGCTAGAAGATCACGCCGATGTTTACCAGATAAACCACGCTTTAAGAGAAGTCTTATTCTCACCTGGATTCCTGCTCGTTTACCTCTTTTCCTCCGACGTTTTCCCGGGGCCGGATAAACATCGCTAGAGGTGCCCTGGTTGGAATCGTCGATTGGCTCTGGGCCAGTGCGCCACCTCAGTGCATCTTGGGCGATCGTGAACGATCGGAAGGACAGAAGAGTCTGGCGATCATAGGAGATGGTAGCAGGGACACTACTGAAGAGGATCGCAGACAGGAGCAAGGTGGAAAAGAGGAGGTTAGTGGAGAAAAGTTTGAAAAAGTGGCCGGTGACCGCGGCTAAGCCAAGCACAGGCGCCATCTTGTTACCGACCGGAAGCGGAGTACTTCTTCAGATCGTTCAACCTCCAGCAACATGACAAGCACATCAGACCCCCTTTCATCACTGGACCCGAGCGAAGAGGTAAATGGGTAAAACAACGATTGTGGATGGTGAAAGCTTTTGTAACTGATTGTTACAAATCAGTAAATGCATTTTGTCCTCACATGCTCACGTAGAAGGGATCATCGCGTGTAATGTGGCATTGCCCCGAGACTTTTAAAGCCAAATTTTATGGTTATATGTTACAGAGCCGCCAGTTTTTCAACAACTGGGCATCGTTTAATTCATTTTCAACAACATTTAATGGATATTTGCAGAGATCAGTGGTCACTGGTGTCTAACGTGCGGTGCTTCAAAGAGGAAGTGCAATGCGAGAGGTTCAAATACCAACAAATAAGACTACAGATCCTGCCTCTTTAGCATGGCTTTTGAAATCCCTGAGGAGATTTTTGACTTTAACCTATTAGATTTAGGAAGTCTTTAACAGTGCAGCTGGATCTGCTGCAGGAGGATCCAGACGTGGATGGAGGGCTGGAGCAGACCCGTGGCTGGACGTTTCTGGTCAGAGGAACATCATACAGGACGGTCTGCAGAGAGAGCTTTGGGATGCTTCCTCTCACTGTCCACTCCATCGTCCATCTACAGGGTCTGCTGGGCTGGCTCAGTCGACATCTCTAAGACATATTCAAAAATATAAAATGAGGAGATGGTTTATGGATCCACTGGTATAACAATTGTGATGCTTTAGCAAATAAAACCACAGTGTTGTTTTTAATAGAGGTTCCTACATAAATGGCTTGCCTGTTAACAGCAGTGGTGGTCTGCTGGTACCTCCTCCAGGACAGAGCACCGCTGACCTCCCCCACACACATCTTCCTCAGGCTCATCCTCATGTGTGTTTGTCCAGGGCCACAACTTCACCAGCACGATGCAGATGGGCAGCACAGTGCATGCTGACCTGTAATAGATTTAAATAGTTTTTTTAATTCAAAAATGTAAAACAAACACATAACCTGCAGTACACTGGTTCTGTTCGGTTTAAAGAAGAGCAGCAGGAAATAATTAAATAAAAACTGTAGAGAATTTAAATTTTTAAGACAGCTCTAATCATTATTAGGCTTAAATTGAATAAGCAAATGCACATTAAAAACACTCCAATGCTATTTTATTAAAAAGCCTGTTTTTTAAAAACGTTTTGCCTCCATTTGATGCAAAATAAGTTCTAAGGTCCAACTAACATTAGAAAGCATCCTAATGCATTCAACATTTATAATGCATTTGGTTTATATTAATTACGTACACAATTATAATCTTTAGTAATGTGTTGTGTACATTTAACAAGTTCATTCTGTAGCTTAAAACATACCGTATTTTCCAGATATAAGTCTCTCCGGAGTATAAGTCGCACCAGCCATAAAAAGTATAATGAAGAAGAAAAAAACATAGATAAGTCGTACTGGACTATAAGTCACATTTTGGGGGGAATTGTATTATTTTTCTTACAAAATATGAAACCAAGCATTTCACATTGCAACAAGTAGCGGTAACAATAACAGAATAAACAATCAGGGCGCAGCAGCAGCACAACAGCGTACCACGGTCTCCAGCAGAGGATGGCGGTGTTTCAAACCCTCCCAGCGGAGCAGAGGAGCTGAAACATGGACCAGAGCCGGCCCGCAGCAGCACGCAACGGTCTCCAGCAGGTGATGGCGGGGCAGGGGAGCTCATTCCGGCCCGCAGCAGCGCAGTATACATAATTTGGTATATTAGCCGCTCCGGAGTATAAGTTGCAGGACCAGCCAGACTATGAAAAAAAGTGTGACTTATAGTCCGGAAAATACGGTACGTGAAACTCTGGAACACTCTGGAACCAGTTGCCACTCTCAGTTAGGCTGTCCCCATCTCTGCCAGTCTTTAAGAGTCGCCTAAAACCCCACCTCCTCCGCTTGGCGTTTCCTGAATGTGTTTGAATTTGGCCCTCTTGTATGTTGATTTTATTTCCCTGTTTTCATTGGTTCACTCTATCCCTTGTTTTACCCATTTGTCTTCTACTAGAATGTTTTACCTTTTTTTTGTAATTTGTAATTTGAATTGCTTTTATTTTCGATTTATTCTCCATATTTAACTTTCTCTTGTACCATGTTCAGCGCCTTGGGCTTCCCGACAGGGTTGCGGAAGGCGCTTTATACATAAAGCTTTGATTGATTGATTGATTGATTGATTGAAACCATCTAAAGTTAACGTGTAAGTCCTGAAAGCTTCTAGAATAAACAAAGGTACTTTACCTGAAAACGGTTGTGAACAAACGCTGCTGATGGACGTGAAGCTGCTGTATCTCCTAAATATTCCTGCTCAATTTTCGCTAGCTTTAGCATTTTTCCTTTGCGTGTAGCTTTCGCCACGGCCTGTGACGGTGCCTGCGGGCCACCGTAGAGGTGAAGGCTAGACTGTCCGAATTCAGAGCCGCTGGGTTCCGGTTTTAGCTGTCGAGCAAGGACCCGGCCTTGCTAGACCGGCGAGGACCCGTACTCATTAGCATCCTGTTCCTGGGTTCGGACACAGTTGGATCAAAGACGTTTTCTGCACGTAAACAAGTTCTGGGGAAAATGTGGTAAAGATCTCTGTCTGAAAGTGACCAATCACGTTAGGGAAGATGGCTCCTTGGAACCCATCCCCCAAACTGTCAAAAGTGAAACTTGTCCAATAGAGCGGCATTTCTACTCGAGAGCAGAGCAGGCTGCGCGAGCGTGTATTAACAGTTCCACGCGCGTAGTACACATACTTACGAGTAACGGGAACAATTGTCTGTACTTGACTGGATACAATCTGCTCTCAGGTCTTTCTAAACATGCGCAAGGTGCTTTGTCGCTCTCGCTGATAGTTTAAAACATGCGCAGAGGACTTTTTGAGCGCTGGTGGATGGGAACTTATCCTCTCACTGACGTTTAATTATCTTCTCGTGATTGTGTGTGCTCCCCTGAGACCTTATACACATAAAGTTGACTCCATAGATCTGGTTTTTATGACTTTTTTTACAGTAGATCTAAATTGTTTAAAACTGGTTCTGATTTCTACTTTTTACAGTGGTTCTCAATAATTTTATAGCTTTTTACCGTTTCTTTCTTTCCATATTAAATGTTGAGCAGTTGGGTCACCCTCTGTGTTGGGTAAAGTGTAAATAAATACACATTGATTGATTGATTGATTGATTGATTGATTGATTGATTGATTGATTGATTGATTGAACGAACAAACTCTGATGTGGCTCACTTCTAGTTCCTGAAAAGGGCGCATCAGAGGACCCCCCACCCCCGAGAGTACGACTTACAGGACATCATTCCCACTAGAGACTAAATGTAGTACAAATATGAGTGAAGGACCTCTTTAGTTCATTTGAGATGTTAAAATCACAAAATCATCATTTCATTGAGTCACTTCTTCATTTTGTTGATTTCTACTCAGCACCTTTGATTAGAATTGATTAATGGTTGAGATTAAACTGACAAACTTTTATTTTTATTTTCTCTTCCTTTCTGCTCAGGAGGAGTCGGGAACGCCTGCGAGAGCACAAGGGAGATTCCTAACTGTACTAGCGTGTAGAGGCGTCAGGGCCAAGTGTGACGGTTGATCGGGGTCTTCTCTGTCTCTCTCTCTCTCCGTTTTGTATTTACAAACACAACTGATGTTAATAGTTTTCTAAAAGACCTGGTTTCTACAGACTGGCGTGGACGTTTGTGTCGACGACGTCTGCAGCAGCATTTTCCTCGAGTTCTCTGTAATTACTGACGAAGCAGTTCCGGTTCTGTGGATGTAAAAGCTGCTTTCATTCGCTGAGGGAAGAGTTCTGTAAGTTCCTGAGAAGTTTGCTTTGAAAATCATTTCTGCCTACATGTAGACAATAACGCCTGAGTCTTCAAACAGGGAATATTATCAAATGTATTATATTATCTTTCATTCAGTTAATTGTAAATATTCTTCCTTTCTACATGCTTGTAGTCTCAGAGCCACGGCGCCGGGGTCGGATCCGGTGTGTTTTTGGAAGTGTGTTAAAAAGTGAGGCAATGGCAAACGTTTGCTTTGCTGAGCTCTATGACGTGCATGTTGTTACCGAGGACAGTTTCTGTGTTGTAGATAAGCAAGTGTTGTAAATAGTCCTTTTCTAAATATTCGTCCAAATGAGTCCTGTCAGTTCTGCCCCGGTTCTGTTTAGCTTACCAAGGAGCGTTAGAGGCGCGATGGAGGGGAGAGAAAAAATAAAAAACAGGGACATGTGGTGAAGAATAAAGTCAAAGAGAGGAAATGCTCCAAAATAAAGGCAATAACATCCACACAAAACATTCTAATGAAATATGAGCTATTTTAAAGGTGCAAAATGTAAGAATGAAGTAAGAGTGACATCTTGTGGTCAAACATGGGTACTGCAGTCCACTTTTCTAAACAAAAAGTCAGCATCTCGCTACCATTCCATGAGTTCCATGGCTGTTGCCAGTTATGGATCAGCACCAGTAAGTTGATAACTAAATAAAGACGTTGTTGTAGCTGGTGTTTGCACTCTAAAGCCTGATTTATGCTTCTCCGTCAGCTCCGCAAGGGACAGACACGCACGGATTGACGGAAGCGTTTTGCTCTCATACTTCTCCGTCTCCTGGAGAGTGTTGCAAAGCAATTGCCCGGCAGGACCACAGAGGGCGTAGCGCTGTTCTGTGGTATCCTGTCATGTATCGGTCCAAGATCGTGTGTTTATATTGTGTTTTTGTGTATATAAGAGACTTTTAACACGGACATATTTGTCTCTCATTCTCCTCCATCTATTCATGCGCTCCCCACCTCTAAACCTACGTTTCCTATCATTTCCGTCCACAAATAAAACTCTTTCTGTGCATCTTTTCACTCCTCCAGTCACGGGAGGATGAAACGTTCATATTTTTAGAGTTTTTTCGCGAGGTATTCTTCAAGCTTCTCCGTGTCTGCCACTAGTTATCCTCGGCTCTCTTTGCAATGGCGGCGCTGTAAACAACAGCGGCGTCCTGACCAATCACAAGCTTGCGTAATCCGTCTCGTTCGACGGATGTTTAAAAAAGTGGGCTCGACTCCGTACGTACTTGCGTGCCTGCCGGAGCCCTACGCAAGGACGGATAATGGCGTTGCGTGTCTCCGCACTGACGCAGACGGAGAAGCATAAATCAGGCTTAACATGCTTCATGGTAGGGAGTACGTTCTACACTTATTACGGTTCTATGCTATTTTTGGGGTTTTCCATTATGCTGCTAGCTTGCTGAGCCGACTATTTGCTTCTGATTCACCATTAGCATTGTTATCTCAAAGTTAGCCTCTAATGATATTAGAGTAAAACAAAAAGATGCTGTTGCTTCTTATGGGTACAAGACATAACTTCTGGGTCACTCCTGTTTACTGGCTTTAGCTTTTTAAACAAGTCTGGAGCTTTTTCCCTGTCATTTCACAGTAAAATTCTTACATTTTGCTCCTGTAAATCTATCTGTTGTTCGGCTATTTCCTTAGCAGCGTCCACATCAGAACTTACGACTTCCTTTAGTCCTCCACAATAAGAGTTTCTAATTACATAATTGAATCTGAATCTTAAAGTAGTTTATCATCAGAAACCGGATGTATTACCTATTTAATGAGCTGCATGTTTGAGACTCTTACTGTGAAGGATTCAAGGAAGTTCCGAGATCTTCTGTAAATGCTGACCTGGAGATAGCTCCGGATATGAATACTGACACTACTGTGTCGACTGTTTTCCCAGATTTTCAGGTGTTCTTGTTTTTTTGTTGGTTTCTTTTTAGTTTTGTTTGATGCGACTCCTCCATCTGAGCCTCTTCCATTACTGACGGGTGAAAATGAGAAGAGATAAACTATTCAGAGATCAGACTAGAATGACACGAATAGGACCAATATGAGAACGATCATGTTTATATTAATATATTTTCAGTAGAAATGTTCTCTAGATAACCAGACAGACGAGACGACCTTTGAACCTAACCTTAACAGCTACTGAAATCATCGCATTACGTTTTGCCTCTGAAGGTTCTGATCCAAACTCGGAGCGATAGACGGAAATGCGTGGCAACTGGTTCAAAGTCTTCACACGACAAATCCAACCCATCACAGAAGAATGTAGACATTTAAAGTTATTGTTTTGGTTGTTTTGCGCCATCCGTGTTTATCCTCGAATATAAGCTTACTGTTGGATTCTGACAGTTGGTGCATTTTTACGTGCATGTAATGTGCAGGTAATATGTTGTTTTTGCCGTCATTTTTATTTACACAGGAATACCGTAATGCATCGCTAATCCAAAGGACAAATGATGGGCAGCAACCCAGACTGCAGGTTACAGTTTGTCCTGTTAAAATACATTTCACCAGTTTATATTTTCAAAACCTCAAGTAATAAATGAAAAGTGTTTAATACAAAATCACACAGAAAATATACGGGAGCAAGAAAAATGCAATGACTGTCGTGTTAGCGTTTTTAAAAGCCTGTAATTAGTGTAGAGAGAAAATGAGCTGAGAGGCAACATTTTACTGGTGATTTTTCTAAAAATAATAAAGATGCATTTAATGCGTCTGAAATTAAATCGCTACATTCCTGCTCCTTATTTATTTATTTAAGAAGAATGCCCACTTTTATTATTTCTGGAACATTCTCGTAATATTCAGTAAATGTGATTATTTGGGAGTTTTCAGGGTTTTCAGTGTTTTATGTTTAAGCTGTGACGAACCAGCATTAAGCTCAGAGAGGATTTACTGGATGTTGCTTTGCTTTGAAATCCTGTTTTATTATTTTAAATGGAACAATTCATACATCTACATGTAAACGTGTTTCCGTTCTCCAGAGAAAACCAAACAGAAGCAGGTATCTCACTATGTTGTGACTGTTGGCGACATTCCCAAATTAGTTAACAAAATGTCTCAAATTGGATTCTCAAATTCCTTCAGAAAACTCAAGGAGTCTCTGGAATTTTACAGTTACTGGAAAACAATGTTGTGGGGTGTCTGGATCCCAGTTTAGTTTCCTGACTGCGTCACAAATCTACGGACGTCTTTGGGAGGGTTTGGAGACAAAAGACGGACTAGAATGAGACGTACTTCAGACAGATTTTCAATAAATAGAAAAGAAAAAAGCATAACTCTGTGTGACCAGGCCTTTAAATGGTTGTTACCAAAGTATTCAAATGCATTTGGAGATTCCAATGGAAAATGTATTTATTGATTCATTTATTTTTATGTCACCAACAATCTCAGCCCAGCCATGTTTGTTTGTTTTTCTGGGTGCGCTATGCTTTAGTTTGTTGCAGTCTGCACCTTTACCACTAGGTGTCATTAAAGCCTTTATCCTGCTTTTCAAGCACAAAACAACTGCATTTATTTACCTTAAACTATAAAAACCTTTTAATCTTCATTTTTATTTGTGAACCTCCTGATAAAAATCATTCTTTCTTCCTATCTGACTCCTGTTCTAGTTGTTAGAGTTTCCTCAAAAACAAATTAGTCCCCAAAATCTGACTGGAGACATTTGGTGTTGAGTCAGGATGCTCCAAACGGAGCAGAGCAGTGGGTTTGATGTCATTAACGCAGTCCTCCTGCTGCCTGAGCCTCCATTTACAACCAAACACTCCGCTCTCGGCTCTGCGGGTCATTTGCAGAGAGCCAGAATTGTTTTCCCAGTATGCAACTTCCCACCAGCACCGCGTTTCCCAGCTCTACATACGCCAAGTGGCCTTGAATTGACTCGCGTCGGCTTCCCGTAGCCAGCTCGACAGTAATGAGAGGAAGAGCTGTACAGCTAAGGCGTGCACAGCTTTCCCACAATGCTGGGCTCAAGTAAACATTTGTTGCGGAAGACGTGAGATGGGAAAGGGAGCTGCTCACAAAGGTAGAGGCTGTCACATCACATATGCATCACCAGGAGCAGAGCTCTCATCTCAGACCAAACAGCCGAGGCAGTCCTGGTTTCTGCACACACAACACTCTGAGCAGAGATTATTTCCATCGTCTCCGTATTCGTGTCAGAGCCAGGGTTATTTGTTTGGCTGGGTTTCGTTCTGGTGGCAGCTTTGATCCGACTGAATTTCGATCATCAAAATAAAATAAAGAAAATCGCAAAAAGAAGAATCTCAAAATGTTTTGGCATCTTAGTTTCAGATGTCAGTGTTTTTTTTAGTTTTTTTCTTCTTTCTTTGCTCTCTGACCCGTTGAATGTGGAAAAAAAAAATCTGACAAATTGACTGAAATTGAGCTTTACGTAAAAAGTAAAGATACAAACTACGTGTTATCTGTGAAGACTCATGCCCACAGCTTTGATCACTGGAAACTTCTCCTCTCAGATACATGAAATGCCACTTGATAGATGATCTCTGGAGAAATCCAACAGAAGAGATCTGCTGCTCTAAAGATTTATTCAGAAGGCAAAAGCATTGTGATGTTCTTCAGTGCACAACAAGCTATGATGCATGCATCATCAGTGATGTTCTGTTTCATCGTTATTTTAATATTTCTATGGTAAGGAAACTGTCATTTTGAAATTGTTTCAAATAAATGTATTTTTGTACATCAGCTCATGGCTCTGGTGTGTTTCCTTTACTTGGATTGAAACTGTAAAAAGACTAGAGCCTGAACACACGAATCTTATCGGATTCAAAAAGCACAAAGCAACTTTTACACAGACTCAGAATGGGGATGCTCAACAGTCACACCTTCAACATTTCAAAAACTCACCACACTCAGGACATGATACAAAAGTGCCTAGAATCACTCTCCTTTACAGCCTTACAGTCAGACTCCAAACTCCACTATGGCCAAGACCAAAGAGCGTTCGAAGGACACCGGGAAAAGAATTGTAGACCTGCACCAGACGGGGAAGAGTGAATCTACAATAGGCAAGCAGCTTGGTGTGAAAAAATCAACTGTGGGAGCAATTATCAGAAAATGGAAGACATACAAGACCACTGATAATCTCCCTCCATCTGGGGCTCCATGCAAGATCTCATCCCGTGGGGTCAAAATGATCATGAGAACGATGAGCAAGAATCCCAGAACCACACGGGGGGACCTGGTGAATGACCTGCAGAGAGCTGGGACCACAGTAACAAAGGTCACCATCAGTAACACACTACAACGGCAGGGAATCAAATCCTGCAGTGCCAGACGTGTTCCGCTGCTGAAGCCAGTGCATGTCCAGGCCCGTCTGAAGTTTGCCAGAGAGCACATGGATGATACAGCAGAGGATTGGGAGAATGTCATGTGGTCAGATGAAACCAAAGTAGAACTTTTTGGTATAAACTCAACTCGTCGTGTTTGGAGGAAGAAGAATACCGAGTTGCATCCCAAGAACACCATACCTACTGTGAAGCATGGGGGTGGGGACATCATGCTTTGGGGCTGTTTTTCTGCTAAGGGGACAGGACGACTGATCCGTGTTAAGGACAGAATGAATGGGGCCATGTATCGTGAGGTTCTGAGCCAAAACCTCCTTCCATCAGTGAGAGCTTTGAAGATGAAACGTGGCTGGGTCTTCCAACACGACAATGATCCCAAACACACCGCCCGGGCAACAAAGGAGTGGCTCCGTAAGGAGCATTTGAAAGTCCTGGAGTGGCCTAGCCAGTCTCCAGACCTCAACCCCATAGAAAATCTGTGGAGGGAGTTGAAAGTCCGTGTTGCTCGGCGACAGCCCCAAAACATCACTGCTCTCGAGAAGATCTGCATGGAGGAATGGGCCAAAATACCAGCTACTGTGTGTGCAAACCTGCTAAAGACCTATAGTAATCGTTTGACCTTTGTTATTGCCAACAAAGGTTATGTTACAAAGTATTGAGTTGAATTTTTGTTATTGACCAAATACTTATTTTCCACCCTGATTTACAAATAAATTCTTTAAAAATCCTGTCATGTGAATTCATGGATTTTTTTTCACATTCTGTCTCTCACAGTTGAAGTGTACCTATGATGAAAATTACTGACCTCTGTCATCATTTTAAGTGGGAGAACTTGCACAATCGGTGGCTGACTAAATACTTTTTTGCCCCACTGTAAATAGCAATTGAGGTGGTAGTATATGTTGACTTGTTGCCTCGCCCCACCACCCATCCATTTGGGATGCCTTCCTCCAGAGAATCAGACTTTTACTTTCTTGTCTGACGAACCTTAAACATTAAAAGGATTTCTATTTTCTCGTTTTTATCGACGCAAAGCAGCAAAAACAGAAGCCTTTTTTCTTTTTTCCACCATGGAAGTCCAAGAGCAGCCTCATTATTCTGCCGCTCAGATTAATCTCAGGCCTCCGTCTCTCCCTTTCACCTTGGCAGCTTGTAACGGCGTATTTTAGCCCGTTTAAGAATCCCGAACACATACTCCGACACTCGCTGCAGGTTACTGATAGTCCTGCGTGCCGGGTGGAGGACAGAGCCTCAGAACAAGGTGGAGGTTTGATGTGGAAAAGCAGGTAAAGTCTGGATCCCACAGTCTATTTCAGCTTCTGCACCGTTTGATTTCACAGCAGAAAAGTCAAATCAGGAGAAGTGATGGATGGACTCGTTTATATTCTGCTCTACTTGCTGAGCTGAAAAGGGATAAAGACGCTCTGTACACCTGCATGCAGAAAGACTGAAAACTACTTATAAAAATAATTGAGGTTTCTGTTTCACACAAAACCCTAAAGAAGGTTAATAAATCTGATATTTAATCATATGTTAAATTCAACAGTTTCACCCCCTCAGATGTATTGCTGCCCATAAAAATCCCATCAAGGATTAAAATGATACCAAAAAGTTTTTGGAACTCCTGGGATAAGACTGACTGGTCAGTCATGTATAAAAACCCTCAGAGGGAGCAGAACAGACCACAGTTCTCCACCAGTAACTAAAATTCCTGCAGGGCAGGAACTCAAAACACCACCACCTCTCCCTCGGATTTTCAAGGGCCAGCGAGAGCTAACCGCGACGCTTTCCAGGGCACGGGCCCCTCTCTCGGGGCGAACCCATTCCAGGGTGCCCTGCCCTTCACAAAGAAAAGAGAACTCTCCCAGGGGCTCCCGCCAGCTTCTCCGAGTTTGTTTGCGTTACCGCACTGGACGCCTCGCGGCGCCTGTCTCCGCCACTCCAGGTTCGGGGATCTGACCAGACTTGCCCTCCAATAGATCCTCGTTAAAGGATTTAAAGTGTACTCCTTCCAATTACAGGGCCTCGAAAGAGTCCTGTGTTGTTATTTTTCGTCACTACCTCCCCGAGTGGAAGTGGGTAATTTGGGAGCAGAACAGACGACAGCTCTCCACCAGTAACTAAAAGTTCCTGCAGGGCAGGAACACAAAACACCACCAAATTGGTGGATTTGGCAATCAGGTACTGATGAGGCAGGAAAAAAATTATTTAGAAGAACAAATTACAGCTTATCTGTTCTGAAATGTTCCCTGATCAGAACAATTAAACCTTAATTTAAACATTAGAAGATGCCGTTGGTCCAAAACAACCAACCGTAGCTTTAAAGTGACCTGAAGTTTAGAACTTTCTTCATTTTAGTTTTAAAAGAAAATGAACAGATGACAAGTTGCTGTTACAACTAATCCAACTCATGATGTCCCATTAGTGTTAATCCAAACATGTACATGAGGTTTATTTAGAAAAAGGAAAAATAATGGTAAATGGTAAATAGCCTGTATTTGATATAGCGCCTTCTAGAGTCCTGGAACCCCCCAAGGTGCTTTACAACACAATCAGTCATTCACCCATTCACACACACATTCACACACATAAATATTTCAACATGACACTAATTTATTATTTCATCAATCAATCAATCAATCAATCAATCAAGTTTTATTTATATAGTGCTTTCCACCACCTTCATAGGGGGCCCAAGGCGCTGGACGAGAACAGTAACAAAGATAAAAGTAGCAAGTCATAAACACATTAAAAACAAAATAAGAACATAGACAGTTGTGAGAACAATACAATGCCAATGAGATCAAATTTAGATAAAAGATAATCAAAATTAATTAGTTAAAAGAAAGCTAAGAACAAAAAATAAATAAAAAACAGAAACCAAATGCTTTAGGAGAAAGCCATTCTATGAAAATGAGTCTTCCACCTGCTCTTAAAGACAACCAGTGGTGGGAACTGTTTGATTGTGAGTGGGAGCTGGTTCCAGAGAGAGGGTGCAAGGACTTGAAAAGCCCGATTACCACGAGTCTTAAATCGGGTGCGAGGAACGATAAGCAATTTTTGGTCAGCCAACCGTAATGATCTTGAGGGAACATGTTTTATTAAGAAGTGGGGGCACTGCTTTGGAAAAACGTAAACACAAAAAGCAGAATTTTAAACTGTGCCCGGTATGAGACGGAGCCAGTGAAGAGAACTCAGCACTGGAGAAATGTGGTCCCTTTTCCTAGTTCCAGTCAAAAACCTAGCAGCACTGTTCTGCACTAATTTTAGGTGATGCACAATAGTCTGACCCACGGTCCACAGAGGGAGTTACAATAGTCCATCCTAGAGATCACAAACGCATGGAGTACACACTCCAAGTGAGTTCTGGAAAGAATAGGCTTGAGTTTAGTAAGGCGACGTAACTGAAAAAAGCACGACCGTACTACTGAGTTGACATGAGAATTCAATCTAAGAGCAGAATCAAGTCTCACCCCCAGGCTAGGGATAAATGGCTTCTGGAGGGATGACAAGGTGCACGAATCGACAATAGAACCTAAATCTGTGTTGCAGCTTCGGTGAAACATGATAAATTCCGTTTTACATTCATTAATGTACAGGAAATTAGCTGCAAGCCGTGCCTTGACCTCATTTACACATTTCTCAAGGTTTAAAAAAGAAGCTGCGTTCCCCAGAGACAGTAGAGAATAGACCTGGCAGTCATCAGCGTATAAGTGGAACTTAATGCCATGTCTGTGGAAGATGGACACCAACGGCAACAAATAATTTGTACAACGCAGGTGGTCTGAGAATTGAGCCCTGCAGAACCCCCCAGTGCAGAGCCTCCCAAGAAGAGAGAGCTTACCCCAATCTCACACAGAACCTCCTAGCATATAGGTAGGAACGAAACCAGTCAAGGGCAGACCCAGTGATCCCTACACATAGTTCCAGGCGATCAAGCAGTGTGCCATAGTCCACCGTGTCAAACGCTGCTGTAAGGTCCAATAAAATAAGTGCTACAGAAAAACCCTGATCTAAAGATATATAAATGTCATTCAAGACCCTTTAATTCATTTGGCTGCAACAGGTGTGCCCAAATGAATACATTTCATGTATTTTGTTAAAGTCTCAGTCATCACACACTGGTGAAATTCATCTCCACATTTGATCCATCCCCATCACCCTGTAGCGGTGAGCTACAGCTGTGGCTGCACTCGGGAACCATTGGGTGGATTGACCCCTCAGTCCGACCTCTTGAAGCTGTGTCAAGCAGGAAGGTCCCTTTTTTTAAAGTCTTTGGTCTGACCCGACCGGGACTTGAACTCTGATCTCTCAGCCCCAGGGCGGACACTCTACTCTACTCTACTGAGTTGAGAATACTCCGGATGTATAATCCCTGAAAACCAGTCTAGCAAAAGA